GGCTGCGGTCCTGCCGCCTCTCACCCCGCGGCCGGGGGCTGCGGCGGTTCGCCTCCGTCCCCGAGACCCCAGCCCGCCGCCCCTCTGCCCTGAGTGTGTGGGGAAAAGATCAGCGTTCTTGACCCAGGCGTGCCTGGCTCGAACGCCTTTGCACCGGGGCCGTGGGCAGGTCGTTTAGGTAACTCTGGGCCTCGGGTTCTTTCCTCTCGCGCAAATGTTTGTGAGGATTAGCGATGCTGGGAACGGAGCGCCGCGGCACCAGCTTAGGGGTCCTAGAAACGTGGCGCCTGCTGTAACTGTCTCCAGGTCTTTATCGATCGCCTGTTTTGTGTGAGCTGTTTTATAAGCTGCAGAATATTTGAGAGTGCTCGTTTAAGTTGCTCCCAGGGTGGAGGAGTGCAGGACGTGCGAGCAAACAGTTGTGATGGGTTTTACTGAGTTTTATTGAGTGTGTGTGTGTGTGTGTGTGTGTGTGAGAGAGAGAGAGAGAGAGAGAGAGAGAGAGAGAGAGAGAGAAGAGAGGGGAGAGAGAGATAGGGACAGGGACAGTGGTCACAGGGAGGGGAACAAGCAGTTGCTTGTATGGATAAGGGAAGGCTTCAAAACGGAAGGCATGTCCTTGCATCTTGAGATATATATATATATATTTATATGTATATCTGGTTAACCTTATACAGGTCCCTATGGGTTTAAAGGAGGTCAGCACACTGTTTATAAGTTGTTGTTTTGTGTCCACCACTGAGCTATACAGAAACATGAGAGGAGGAAACAGTAGAAAGTTTGTTTTCTAATCCTCACCAGAGGATATGTTTTTATTTATTTATTTATTTGAGAGGAAGGGAAGGAGGAAGAAACATTGATGTGAGAGAGAAACAATGATTGGTTGCCTCCCGTACTCCCAAGGGGATTGAATCCAAAATCTAGGTATGTGCCCTGACTGGGAATCGAACCACAACCATTTGGGGACTATGCACCAACCAACCCTGCCGCTCGGCCAGGGCAAGAAGTATTTTTACAGTAGTTAATAATTGGTCCTGCCTACAGAGAATCTTACAGTCCTGCTGGGGTCTGAATGTTTATGTCCTCTCCCCCATTCATATGTTGAAATCCTAATGCAGGGGTGATGTTATTAGGTAGGGCCTTTGGGAGGTGCTTAGGTCAGGAGGGTGGGGCTCACGGGTGGACTTGATGCCTTTATAAAGGAGGCTTCAGAGAGCTCCCCTGTTCCTTCTACAATGACAAAGAGGTAGAAGGCATGGGCTTTGAGCCAGGAAGAGGGCCTTCACCAGAACTTGACCATGCTGACACCTTGATCTTAGACTTCCAGTCTGAGGAACTGTGAGAAATAAATTTCTGTTGTTTATAAGCTACCCAGTCTGATGTTTTGTTATAGCAGCTGGAATGGCCTAAGACAAGGCCTGTTAGGGGAGGCAAACTAACGTGCTGGGGAAAAACTCAGGAAATGCATGACCTTACTTAAACTTTCTTGGAGACCAAAAAGATTGTTACCTGGGCAAGGCTCCAAGAGGAGGTTGATTTAAACCAGGGTTTCTCAACTACTGCACTGTTGACACTGGGGCCAGATAATCCTTTGTTTTGGGGTCTGTGCTGTGACTTATGTACTTAGCTGTACTTCATGGGAGGAATCAAAAAGTGTTTCTACTTCATTTTTCTGCTCCATCTGAATATTTTCCTTTTAAATACTCCAGAATTACAGAAGAACATTTTCCCTAGCTCTCTGCAAGTGTAAAGTTTTATTGGAGTAATGTGAATTTTGCATTCACATAAAAGAACATCTACCATGGGGTAGACACTTTCCATTTATCCTGAATTGTATTAATTCTTATGTACATTGTTTCTTAGTCCTGGGGGCTGCTATTTTAAAATATCATAAACTGGTGACTTAAAAAACAGAAAATTATTTCCCACAGCTTTTGGAGACAAGGTACTGGTATGGTTGAATACTGGTGAGGGCTCTCTTTCCGGCTTATAGCCAGCCTCCTTCCCCCTTCTTGCTGTGTCCTTACGTGTGTGTGTGTGTGTGTGTGTGTGTATGTGTATGTGTGTTGGTGGGCTGAGAGAATGAGAATGCACCCGTGTGTCTCTTCCTCTTCTAATAAGGACACTAATCTTATCATGAAGGTTCTACCCTCCTGACCTTATCTAAACCTGATTATCTCCCAAAGGCCTCATCTCCAAATACCATCACATTGTATGCTAGGGCCTCAACATATGAAACTTGGGGAGACACAATTATCTCAGTATTCTCCATACGTGTTTGATCCTAAGAATCATCTAAGGGGCTTCATAAAATTATAGTTTCCTCAGTGTGTCCACTAGAGACTCTGATTTAATGGGTTTGAGATAGTATCCATAAATTTTAATTTTAGTATGTATTCCAACTGATTCTTAAGATCAGAGAAGTTTGAGAAAACTGCAGAATTTAATTCATCTGTAATAATGCTATGAGATAGATGTCATTGTCTGCTTTTTACCTCAGACTGCAGGTACAGAAGATAAGCGAATTAACCAGGGCTGTGCAGTTTTAAGTGACATCAACAGGATGGAATTTCCAGGCCTCTGTGTCCAGTGTCCATTCTCTTAAGCACTACTTGGTATTATCCCTCACAGTATTACAATGATGACATTGATGGTAATATCTGGTCTCCTTTTAAAAGATTTCTTTGCTGGGGATTATTCTGAGTGATTTATTATTTATATACATATTAACTCATTCAGTCTTTGCAGTAATCCTTCAGGTAGGGACTGAATCATCCCTATTGTACGGAAAGGAAGAGTGAAGCATTGAGAGGTTAAATAATTTGCCTAATGCTACTTTAGTAAAATCAGACTTTGAACTCCAGCAGTCTGGCTCCTGAGGCTAAATGCTTAACCCCTACTCTGTATTGCCTCTATATTCTACTCCATAATGCAGCTAATGTTTATTTTAATATGAACATGTTTCATGTTATCAGTAAGTAAAATTGATATTCCAGGAAGATATGCGCCGCTTATACTATGGCTTTACCCCCAGATTCACATATGCAGTACACTTTGATAATTGTGTCCTAGAACTGTGCTGTCCAATGCAGTGGCCACTAGACACATGTGGCTGTTTAAAGTTAAATTGATGAAAATTAAACAAAATTAAAAACTCTGTTCCTCAATCACGCTAACCACATTTCAGGTAACCACATGTACCTACTGGCTACCATATTGGACAGTGCAGATTCTGGGATATTTTGTCATGGCTGAAAGTTCTATTGGACAGCACTGCTTTAGAAAATGTAGACCTACACAAGAATCAACACTGACTAGGAACACTTGAAGCATATCATTTTATCCCTGCAGGGTTATATTTTTTGAGTAACAGTTGATGTTATAACAGGCAAACCCCCAAATCTAAGAGGCTTTGCACAATTGAAGTTTTTGTTTCTTTCATGCATTGAGCCTGATTAGTGGACAGTTTTCCTCCAAACAATGATGTGGGATCCTAGGCTTCTTCCATGTAGTGATTCTCCATCTTCAGTATATAGCTTCTAAGGTCACTGCTTTCCTGTTTCAAGCTAGAAAAATGTGAAGGAGAATGGAGAAAGTACGTGGTTTTTATGGACTGGGCCTGCAAATGGCTCATATATCATTGCCTTGAATTCAGTCATATGACCACACCTAACTGTAAGGAAGACTGTATGACCAGGTTGAAGAGGAAATGGGTTTGGTGGACACCAAGTATGACTCTTATTATCTCATATATGATGATACATGCTGCCGTGATTGCCATGGACAGACTTATTTCCCATGAATTACAGACGTACTTTTTTTTTTTTTTAATGGAGAAAGAGAACCCTGAAACTCACTTATTATTAAATTTATTGGTGTGACATGGTTAATAAAATTATATAGGTTTCAAGTGTACGCTTTTATAATATATCATCTGTATATTGTATTGTGTGTTCACCACCCCAAGTCATCGTCTGTTACCATTTATTTGCCCTCTTCTACCCCCCACCCCCATTTCCTTCTGGTACCTATCATACTGTTGTCTATGTCTGAGTTTTTGTTTGTCTTATTTGTTCATTTGTTGCTTTCAGTTTTATATGCCACATGTGAATGAAATCATATGGTTCTTGACTTTTTCTGTCTGACCTCGCTTAGCATGATGTTTACAAGTTTCGTCCATGTTGTCGCAAATGGCAGTATTTCATCTTTTCTTACGGCTGGGTAGTATTCCATTGTATATATGTACCACATCTTCTTTATCCAGTTATGGACTGAGGGACTCTTTGGTTTTTCCCTGTCTTGGCCACTGAGTAATGCTGCAATAGGGGTACATATGTCTTTACAAATAAATGCTTTCTGGGTTATATAGTGACTCTATTCTTAATTTTTTGAGGAACCTCCATACTGTTTTCCATAGTGGCTGTATCAATTTATATTCCCACCAGCAGTGAATGAGTGTTTCTGTTTTCCCACAACCTCTCTGACACTTGCTATTTCTTGTCTTGTTGATAATAGCCATTCTAATAGGTGTGAGATGATATCTCATTGTGGTTTTGATTTGCATTTCTCTAATAGGTAGTGAAGTTGAGGATGTTTTCATATATCGGCCATTTGTATGATTGTCAAGATGCTCATAGCCAAATCTGTTTTACAATATAATACTGTGTAGAATCTTAAAGAATCCTAAAGCCTACATGATTGCATTCTAATTTTCTCATATAGTTGGTTTTCCCTTTAATCTGGTTTTTGGTTCTGATTTTGATGAACTTATGTTTTCCTATCTTATTGCATGTGTTTGTATTTATATTGTAGAAGCTGTCTCAACGTGTTTCTTGTAATAAAGTGAGATTGTAAATAACTTTCAGAAAATGCAAATATTCAAAAATCATCATTGGTTATTCATACTCATATTTTCTCTCTCTTTTGGTGTAAAATATTAACACCTCAGAAAGTTCTAGAAAATGACATAACAGGAACCTTTGTTTCATGATTTGAATTTTAGCATCTTGCCCTATGTACTTCAGGTCTTGATTTTTAAGATAAAAAAGATAAAGCTATTTTTCTTTATAAATTTTATAAATTCTTTATAAAAACTCTTAAATTTTGTTTCATTGTGTTTGAAAACTTAGGTAATAATTCAAGATGCCTGGGCGTTCCAGTTCAAATTCAGGTTCAACTGGTTTTATATCCTTCAGCGGTGTGGAATCTGCTCTCTCCTCTTTAAAAAATTTCCAAAACTGCATCAACACTGGAATGGACACAGCTTCTAGTGTTGCTTTGGATCTTGTGGAAACTCAGAGTAAGTAATAATTAAAATGTATTTCTTTTGTGTCTACTTTTGAGGTAACTTGTGTGGAGGCATTACTCTAGGGATGCCAGATACTGATCACCTTGTGTGTATCCTTGGGACAGTCATTTCATCCCTGTCGGCATCTGTTTTTTTCATCTTGTTCTACACAGCAGTATACTGAGGGTGAAATGAGACTGACTCATTCATGTGTGTTCAAACAGTTATGTGCCATTAGAAACTGCACTAGAAATTTATGAGCTAAAACATGAAGGTTCCTGACCTCAAGGAACATACAATCAAAAGTATGTGGCATTTTTGAGCTTTACAGTATACAAATTCATTTGATAAATTTGTTTTCCAGTAATTTAACTATATTTTGTTCATGCTGATCACCTTATAGACTGGATAAGCTTTACAAAGGAGACAAGTTCAGCTTTGATGGACTTGACCAAAATTTTTGGATCAGAATATCTAGAAAGATGTTATTTGCTTTCTTTGGGTTAGGGTTGCTTTGTCTTATATATGGAGGCAAGGGAGTAACATTATCTTTTTGTAATTTCTTTTTAATATTACTGGTTTTTGTACTTTCTATTGTGAAATGCCTTTGTATGATTTTCTTTGTTTATTCTGTCTGGTGTTCTTTGAGCTTTATGGATTTGTGGGCTTACATTCTGATCAAATTTGGGAAAATTTCTGCTACTGTTTTTTCAAATACCTTTTCTGTTCCCTCCTCCCCCCTCTCCTTCTGGGACTCTTAATTACATGTTTATTACATTGCTTGATTATGCCCCATAAATCACTGAGGCTCAGTTGATTTTTTTCCCCTCAATACTTTTTCTCTCTGACTTTAATTTGAATAGTTTCTATTACTATGTCTTCAAGTTCACTACTCTTGTTTTCTGCAGTGTCTAATGTGCTATTAACTCTATTCAGTGAATTTTGAATTTCAGAGGATGGATTTTTTAGCTATAGAGACATAAGAAAGAATTAAATGGAATCTTATTTCTGTCTTGCACTTCTCTCATTATGTTCATTTTTTCTATATTCTTGAATATGTGGAGCATATTTATATAGCTGTTTTAATATATTTGTGTGCTAATTCTGTCATCTCTATCTATTGCTGCTGCTTAATATGGTCACTGTATGTATTATGTTGTTGAGTATTTCTATTTTGTTGTCTTCCTTTAAAGAGTTTTGATGTTTGTTTTGCTAGGCAGTTATTTGTGGATTGGGCTGATCCTTTCCAGGCTTGTTGTTTAACTTTGTTAGGGTAGGTCTAGTGTAGATTTACTTTAGGGCTAATCTATGCTGTTACAAAGCTTGGACTTTCTGGAGTTCCTCTTGATTGTCCAGAGTGTTCTGTGAGAGCTCTACTCTGATGGGTGGAATCTGAATGTCTTTTTAAAAAAAAGTTTTTATTTTTAGTTTTATTTTATTGATTTTAGAGAGAGAGGAAAGGAGAAGGAGAGAGAGAAAGAGAAACATTGATATGAGAGAGAAACGTCCATCGGTTGCCTCCAGTGTACACACCCCAACCAGCACTGAACCAGCAACCTGGACATGTGCCCTGACCAGGAATGTCTTCCAGTGCTGTGTGAATTCTGGGAATTGTTCACTTTCAGCTCCCAGCACTGTTCCTCAGCAGCTTAGGCTTTAGTCTGAGGCCCAAGGGATCCCCCAGCAGATTCCTAGTGCCTTTCTCTGCATATCTACCTTCCAGGGCTCTGTCTTGCAACTGCTGCCTTAGCCTTCCTGAACACCCACCAGTCTCTGGCTCCTCAGTCCTTCAAGACTTCTTTGCTCTCCTTGGCTTCTTCCTCCCTGATGTAGAGAGGAGGGCACTCACAGGACTTATCTTACTTGTTTTGCAGGAATCATAGTTCTGCTTCACCTGTTGTCCCACTGCCTGAAAGCATTTGTTTATATATTTTGTCCAGCTTTTTAGTTGTTCATGGCTGCAGGGCTAGTTCCATACTAGTTACTCATTCATGGCTGGCTGCAGAAATCACTCATCATCTTTAGTGGGTGGCCTCTAAAGGTCTTAACTCTGCCCAGCCTGATTTGTAGTCTATTTTTGGATATTTGGCTTTGGTAGGTAGCTTTGGATAAAAGTCATAATAAAATCTTAAATCACAGGAGGGAAGAGCTGGAACTAAACTGCCTGTTGGATAGTATCTGTTTATTTTCAGGATTTGCTTTGAAGGCTTCTGAGTATTTTTACTACAAAGTTCCTTGTTTTTAAAAAGTATATTTTGGTGCAAAATACAACATACTCTATGTAATTTAAAAAGAACTGTAAGCATTGTTTTATGAAAGGTTCATGCTCTAAAGTAGGAGTCAGCAAAGTTTTTCTGTAAGGGATTAGATAGCCAATATTTTCAGCTTTGTGGGCTGTGTGGTTTCTGTTGCAGCTCTTACAGTTATTATGAAAATAGTTTTGACTCTGTGGACCTCATGAAAGGTTCTCAGGGACCACAGTTTGAGAACCACTGGTTATAAAAGTGAATTGGACTGCTATGAGCAGGCAGTAGATGACATGAGAAATTCCCTATGGAGAGAATGCCTATGATGACCCCCCCACTGGAGTAATTGAGCAAGAGCTTATTAGAAGAGTAAGTTTAATGTGACACCAGACTGATGTGCTGTCCAAGGACCCAGAGAGTAGAAAAACCCCTAGTATTTAAGGACATTTGAAGATAATTTAGCTGGTAACAGTAGATGAAAGATTTGTAGGAAACGGAGCCAATATTACCACTCAGTGCAAGGACTTAGAGTCATCCAGCCTTAGTTCTGTAGCTTGCTCAAAGGTTAGGTGATCTCTCTGAACTTGGAATTCCTTATCTGTGAGATAGGGATAAAAATGCCGATTTCATAAGATTGTTGGGATTAAATAAGATAATATATGCTCTTAGCGTAGTGTTTCTTCAGTAGCTATCACAAATGATAACCAGCAAGTCCTACAGTTAAGGTCAGAACTTAGAAAAAGAGCCTGTGGTGTGGAGAGGGAACAAAGTAAAGGAGTTTGGAAGTCTGTTTAAGGCTTTAGGATTCAGCTTAGCTAAATCAGTATTCATCAAACATGTTAGCCAAAACTACAGAGATTAATAAAGGTTTTTTTCAAGTTGTTTACAGTCTGCCTGAGAAGAAAGATGCGTATGTGTTCAGTCATTAAGTGACCATTGAGTGCCTAAAAGGTGATGCTTTGCCAGGGAGTTAGGACTGTATCAATAGAGGAGGAATGTAGTAAAATCCAGTTTTAGAAAGATGACCCTCATGGCAATTCTGAGGACAAAGAAAAATAAGTTTAACTGAGAGATTACAGTTGAGATGAAGAGGACCTGATTTGTGTGCTTTGTATCTTGTATCCACACTGTCATGTAGGCAGACAGTGCTGGGCTGTGCATACAGAATGCCTGGTTCTCATGCCAGCTCCACACTTACTGTTCTTGGGACCGTGGGCAAGTTCTATAACCTCTGTTTGTCTTAGATTTCTCATTTGTAAAAGGCATTGCTGTGGGTATGAAATGAGATAATACAAATTATGTAGAGCAGTACTTGATGCTTAAGTGCTCAGTAAATGTGTAGTCATTTGGTTTGTATTTGCGTTGACTTTTTGTTGGACAGCAGTGAATGGATCAGGAGAAATTAAATTGCAGAAGAATAGAAGGGAAAGTTCATGAACTACCTTCAAAGCAGAATATTCCCTTTTCCTTTTAACCTTATAAGGTTAGGCACACTTGACCTGTTGAGTTGTCCAATTTCATCTCAAAGTAGAAGGAATGAGCTTTGCGAAAATAGGTGGCAGTGATCACTCAGGTATCATTTTCTCACTTTGCACTGCAGTTCTCTTGCCATCATAATATTGAATTATTGGTGAAGGGGATTGTTGCTCCCAGGAACTTGAGGAGTGTGGATGGGTTCTATTTTGTGTCCTGTTGGTTGAATATTCCTATACCAGGTGATTGTTCCTATCCATTTTTCTAGCTTATTTGAAATGGTCCTTCTCCTGTGTTTTGTCACCACATATGATATCTAGGCAATTGGACTCTTATAGCCACCATGCCTATTAGTCTTTCTTTAAAATTGTTGATTTTCTAGTAATACCTTCCTTTTTTTTTTTAATCCTCACCTGGGGATATTTTTTCCATTGCTTTTCAGAGAGAAAGGGAAGGAGGGGGAAGGAGGGGGGGAGGGGAG